TTACTTTTTGATAAATAATTCGTTCTTATTGCGAAATAGGAGCACTATTTATCAATCTGTAATAAAAGACGTGAGGAAATTCTGTTTTTTTTTAAGACAAAAATTTTTGAGGCGAAATACCCAAAAAGAAGTTTGTAAAAAAATGAATCCGCCTCAACAATATAGAACTTATCAACCACTCCAATACTACAGATGGTGATTGCCGATAGCGGTTGGTAAAAAGCTCCAGTTCCATGCCACAAAATTAAATCTGAAATAATCTCGGAAAGAATCGATTCAAATCAGACCGATCAATTTCGAGACGCATTTCACATTCACTTAGACATTACCGGAAAATCCGTTCTACCAACCAAACTTTCATTCAAAGTTTTGAAGAAAATAGCAATAATGTGTCCATGAGTCATTTCCAACAGGATAATGCTGACTTTTAACTATTTTTCTAGAGGATTACTTTCCTGATCTTCAAATTTTACTTGTTTGCTAGTTTTGAAGCAACCGGGTTTTTGATGAGAACTTGAACCATTTTGCTAAAAGGGCATTTTTACGTAGATTTTGCAAAGAATTGGCACAATGGACAATTTAAACACTTCGGATATGCGACGAAAGCTCTGCTTGATAACGAAGTTTCATTCAAATAAATAAAGTGTGCAAAAAATGAATTATTATCACTTACTCCAGGCATAATAACCCTTTCCACGTCTTTCAAAACATCTTCCCACTTTTCGGGTTTGTCTGGTGCACTGTCTGGTATTAATGGTCTCAAATAGCCGGGCTCTACGGTAGGGACCACTCGCCTATAAATAAAGAAGAAATTTAAAGGAATGGGAAACTGTTACGTTCAGATGAGTAAAATAAGGTGGTGGATAGGGGGACGCCTCCCAGATATGGATGGTACCGGGAAATGAAATATTTCCTAAAGATTAAAGATCCCTTGTGGATATCCTCAGTGAAAATCATCACACCATTGCAATGGCTTTGTTCAGTTCGAAATGCTCCGGAGTTGCTCCGGAGTTGCTCCGGAGTTGCTCCGAAAATGCTCCGAGGAGATCGGACCTCTGGGGAGGAGGGCATTGAATGAAGTTGATTGCAGAGAAAGTTAACACAGAGAAAGGATAGAATTGCTACTTGGAACGTTAGAGGTCTTTATGCATCTGGGAGAATAGATAACGTCTTTTTCGAAACGATGAGATTCAATATCAACATCAAAGGTCGGGTCGGGGAGACATATAAGAATGAGAACTATTCACRGAATGATGATGCCTCKCATGGATTTGGAGTGGGMATAACTGTTGAGAAGAGAGTACCTACGGTATCCAGTTTCGTCCCATTCTCATGCCGCAWAGTTCTGCTGAGTCTCAAATAAAATTCCAGTAAATGTTATCAAAGTATATGCACCTGCAGCAGATAAGGACGAAGATGAAATAGAGTCGATATACCAATATTTAAGGTGATCAAACCTATCAAGAAGCACGAAGTCCTTATTAAAATGGGGATCTGAATGCGAAGAAAGACGCTTAATCATCATTCTTACAAGAATCTTTGCCGATATAAAGGCAGCATATTTAATAACGATTGTTAAGTAATTCAGCAAGTTGCTTTGGGACAATAATAAATTACAGTTGCCGTAATCCACTTACCGATCTCTGATGTTCTCGAGATATTCCGCCGTGTAGTCTATCATCGCTTTTCCGAACTCCCTAAACTGATTAGCTTCCATCTCTGAAATATAAAGGACTGCAATTAGTGTGTACCTCGATAAATTCGCTCAATTTCTAACTGGATCAACAAGTGAGAAGCTGTCATTAAAAACTCTTCGCAATGTCTGATCAGAATGATAGAAGATGATTTTCATCAAATAATGGACAAATTCATGGTTTTTATTCAATTTAATTGAATACAAACTGTAAACCATTTTCATACACTATAAAAGATGTTCTGGAATATTTTTCGGAACTTTTGTAGTGTCCTAAAAAACTTAGTGGTATTTGATTCTTATGTGGTGCCGTCCAATTCGCGAAAGTTGGTGGCTCAATAGCGTGAAGTCAATTTATTTTTATTATCAATTATTTTAGACCAACCACAAGGTTGCAGTATTTACTCCCAGATTTTATAAATCTAGAAATATCTTGCTCACTTCAGAAGCTCGAAAATCGAGTAAAAATCGGTGGAGTTTTCACAAAGATAAAATTTGCGCGCATGTGGTCTTAATATGTCTGCTTCTGGTACTGGTCAGGCATGCATCAACATATCTTCTAGATTCTATCATCTTAAAGTCACACTCCTCTTTATAATAGTCAATAAAATTATTCATAATTCACCCAACGGTAATTTTGCTAGTTGTTTTAGAACTATAAAATTGCCAAAAAACACTGATACCAGCTCGATCTTATCATATTCCCTCTAAAATTGACGCATTGCTAGGTGCGAATATATTTTTTCACACAAAAATCCCACATAAGTAATAACATCAATTTATAAAAACAATATTTCGTTGTTTTCTGTGAAGATATCGTAACATGCAACGAGC